CTGCTTTTCCACCGTCAGGCCAAACGGTTCTCTTTGCTTAACCGTTCCGTCCCGTGCCGATCCGGCCCAGCCAGTACGGATAATAGTTTCATTTCCCACTGTGAGCCTGATAACGGAGCTCTTTTGAATGTAATAGAAATGTGTCAGTTGTTGCCTTGGTAGTGCAAGAGTTTACAGACGGTATGAGATCTAAATACTAAATAGCGAGCGTGTTATGGAGGATGATCAGCCATTTCTTTTATTTTCATTATTAACTTATCAAATAGTGCACTTGGAACAGCTAAAGAGCTAAATCACGCTGCGCTGAACCAAGCCCAAATGGAAATATAACTGGAACCATTTCTTACCGTTCTTAAAACGGCCCGAAGGTAAAAAAGCAGCGCTTGTATTCTTGTCTTCTATTTTTTTTTACAATCCCATCAGTTTTTTAAAGTACATTTTTGGATAGGTAAAAAACAACAACAAGTTTTTGGACAAAATTATACCTAATCCACCTTTCTTTTTCGACTTGGACCGCATTAGAAACTCAATAGCCACACTAGCTAGCATTACAAAAGCGTGACTGTCTACTTTAAAGGTCATTTTTAATAGTACTGTCTGGTCTGCAGGTGCGTGAAACAGCTGTTCCCCACAATCACAGTGTGAAGTTTATATCAGATATGAGCAGGAAACAAGATAGCCATTATGCTAAGAGCAGGTTAACATTATAAAGGGGAGCTGAACAGATGTGTTTGGACACGATAAAGCTACTCTGAGTTATCAGCAGATATTTATCCTCCATCAAAACAGTTTAAACTCAAACTAATCATGCTTTTATTTTTATTTAGCCGCATTATGTTACCCGTGGTTTGGAGCTATAATGATGTTATACAAAAGAAAACATTATTTATATAGCAAACAATAAGAGGCCGTGCTAATCTCCATAGGCTTATCTGTCTAATTCTTGCAAGTATGACGTACATGCACACACTGATTTATTTCATGTACAGTACGTGCAGAAATGTGTGCATGCAAAACCACAACACAACTTCTGTTCTAAAGGAATTTAAAAATAGATGGACAATCTCTCTGTATATACAGTAGCTACTCAGTTCAGTGGTTCATTGCAGCTCAAGCACTCGTTACTGTTGATTACTGGTATTGTGCTGTTTTTAATTAGAACACAATGCTCTGTTGTTTGAGATGCTGCAGGGCCCCTGAGGCGAGAGACAGAGAGACAGAGAGAGAGAGAGAGAGAGAGAGAGAGAGAGAGAGAGAGAGAGAGAGAGAGAGAGAGAGAGAGAGAGAGAGAGAGAGAGAGAGAGAGAGAGAGAGAGAGAGAGAGAGAGAGAGAGAGAGAGAGAGTTGGGGCCATAGACAGGATGGTGTTCAAATCAAGCAATGAAGAGTAGGTTCTGACTGAGGGTTCGTATATTTCATCCCAAAATCAAATGACAAAAAAAGAAAGTTTGCACAAAGAAAATGAATCCCATTTCAGAAAAATATAGGTTTTTTTTGCATTGTAATATTATATTTTTTAACATTTACACCCAAATTCTTGCAGCAGTGCAACTCGATTGCAATTTAGCCGTGCCGATTAACTGGTAAAATACTGGAAGTGGCGCATTCCACGAACAAGAATCCATGAACATCATTATTAGACCATTTCCTAAGGCTGCACGATATATTAAAGCCATTTAAAATCCTAATATAGCATAGTGGTACTGTGAGATCGCAACGGCTGCGATTCAGTTAAATAAATATATGTGAGTTAAGCGCAGCGCTTTGTCATTTGTCAAATGTTTTATCCAATAAGAAAATATGAAAGTGGCTGTAGCATTTCTATCATAAAGAAGTGGCAAAATATTAAAGATGAAGTGGACAGTTTTAATTAAATGTTGTTTGGCTAATATTAAACAAGGATTTGATCATGCTGTAAAGTTTAACAACAATCACCAGGCCTTGGCACCCTCTGCAGGCATTTGTTATAATACGTAATGTATATAAGTTGATTATGTTTATATTATGTATATTACATGATGTATTTTAAAAGTGTTTTTCAATAAAACCAAAAGGATTACTTGCTTTTCATTCTTCATTCGAACCAATTATTATTGCCTCATTGTTATTATATATGTATTTTAAGTAATTTTTAAAAGGCTACTGTTCACTTAGGTCCATTTTTATTACCACAAAAAGATTACTCAATTACCAAAATAGTCGTTAGGGACAGTTTGCAGTTAGCAATTAGTGACAGTAATTTGAAGGGGTTTTTTTAACTATCTTTAAAACAAAAATGTAACAATGTTCTCAGAATGACTTATTTTTGCACTTATTTTCTTGTTTATACCGAACAATACAATATTTCAATATCAAAGACAGAACTTCTTCAATAAAAATGCCCTTGAATTGGCACAGCATTACGATTAGTGGTACAGAACAAAACAAAAACAAAAACTTGAAAGAAAAATAGAAATCTTGGACAGTTTGACACCAGATATGCCAGCAAAACATGCAAAGACATAAATGTATACGTGTAAAGCCTAAAATCTCTCCACACACACAAAAAGTCCAACTGAAGCATAAACCTGTACAGTATAAAAGCTCCTCAACACAATTTTCTCTTCACTGAAAGGACATTATAAAATAGATGACCAGATCCATTTTTGTGCAAGAACAATGTCATTCAGCTTACAAAACCAGCAAGCTTCTATTAACTACTTATGTCTTTCATTCTGACCCAACTCCCAAGGTCAAGTTCAGCAACAGATTTCTTCCTGCATTAAATTTGCCAATGTCTATTCCCATGCCACCATGAGGTAACTGCTTTTATTTGCCATGGCAACAAAACCACACTAGACAACAAATAACCTGTAGGGTGGGCCCTAGGGTGGGCTATGCCACATGCCAGATACTCCCTTAATATCTGCCATCTAGCTGTAATGTTTAACTCCAGTGGTAGAGACACATCCAGTGAGCATTACAAGACCGCTCTTACTGACTGCAGTATAATAATGTAAACAGTGTATGGCATGTTCTACTATATATGGCCATATGTGTGAACGCCTGCAAGAGCGAACAGGCAAATCTGTGCCAGTGGTGGCAATGATACTTATATTTGCAAAGCATATGAACCAAGGGCACCACTTTAGCTGGTGTATGCTGTTGCCTTTTGAGTTTACTGCACAGTGCACACATTTGGGATTGTAGTAGCCTAGTGGCTATAGACATTACCATTCAAAACATTTTTGAAAGAAGACTATTATGCTCACTCGGGTTGTAACATTGTAAAATTGTGAAATATTATTAAAATTTCAAACAACTAAAAATGTTATATATCCCTGTGATCAAAGCTGAATTTTCAGTATCATTACTCCAGTCTTCAGTGTCACATGATCTTTCAGAAATCATTTTGATATGCTGATTTGATGCTCAAGAAACATTTCTGATTATTATCAATGTTGAAAACAGTGCTGCTTTATATTTTTGTGATAAACATGAAGAAACAAAATCTGGATTCTTTAGTATTTACTGTCACATGTGATGACTTTAAAGTGCTCCTATTATGTTTTTCAGACATATATTTTTTTTTTTTGTGAATGTAAAAGGTCTGCAAAGTTTCAAAGATCAAAGTGCACGACAAATAAAGTTATTGTCTCCTAAAGGAAGGGAAAGGAGGAGTTTAGAGACTGAATTTTTGAACAAACCGCTTTCAGAGTTTTTGAGAAATGAGTGGAATGAGAAATGAGGTGATGTGCAATGTATATTATGTGAAAAGTGTTTTTTGACCTTTGATGCATGGAAATTTATTGTAGAAGACCTAAAAAACTAAATCAGGAACCTTTAAAATATCATAATAGGGGTGAAAGTGATACTTTCATAAAAGAAAAATCATACTGACCGTGAAAATCTTCTATTATTTCTAATTAAAGTCTTTATTTGTTCTAGTTAAAGTGTTTCACTGCAAGCGTGAGAACTGCAGACTGTTCATGGTGCATCTGCAGCATGTCAGGCTAAAATGAAATAATAACCCTGAAATAATGTAATTTTCCTGTTATTTACCAGATACTGAAGAGTCATAATCTGCTGCACCTCGGTATGACCACGTCAAGCATGTTGCTCTGACAGCATCACAGACACACATGCAGATTATTGGACATTGTGCTATTCCGTCGCCAGGAGCGAATATTCTGTAACCATGGAAACAATGTTAATGTTCTCTACAAATCTGAGTGTGTTCTGGAGCTTTCCGAAGAAAAATTACAACATAGGCCTTAAAGTCTTAAGATGATGTACAATATAATCAGTCTTTTCCAACTATATTTGCCTATAATTCTGATAAATAGTGACTAATATATATTCACAACAGCCAAAAAAAAAAAAAAGAAAAAGCTATCAATCTTAAAACACGATAGCATGCATCTGCAGCTCCTGGCAAGAAAGCCTGATAATAAGTGTGGTGAATTTCCAGCTGAGCGCTGGATGTTTTGGGGAGTTTCGTGTGTTCTCATAGAGGGTTTAAAAGCAGAAAGCTGAGAGTTTGTTCCCTTCATGGTGGATCTGTATGCATAATGGATTCTCCTCAGCAGTGAAACTGTATTCCCTGCACAAAGACGAAGCAACCTGAGCGAAATTCCTGCTAGACTGGGAGAGGCGTTTTACTTCTCGTTGTTTAGGGTTTGTGGCATCTCCCCGACTCGAAAGCCAACAATCCACGCAACACAATTTCCCCACACCCACATTAAAACACACTTTCCACCACTGTCAGACACAATGCCTCGTTTTATTTCGACGCAAGTTGCCATGGTGACGAGAGCAACAGAGCGAATACAGTGGCTACTCACAAGCCCCTCTGACACGACTCACACCCTCACCCCGCTAAACGCACACAAGACCAGTGCTGACAACCAGAAACCAGCTGGAAACAACACGACCCGATTCATAAGAAAGACTTCATAACACGGAATATAGTGTGACTTATAATACCTGACAACAAACTACCTGACACGACGAGCATTTACCTTCTCTCATTGTCATCTAGGTGGGCAAACAGCACATTCTTAGAGATGGCTTTGGCCAGGGCGGTCATCGTCTTGTAGTCCTTTGGAATGACCTATAACCAAAGAAAACAATAAGTTACTAAATTAAGTGTATGGCATTTTGAAGTTTCTGCAAAATAATATCTAACTACATTTGCGTATTTTTACCAGAAAATGTGAGCCCAACCTCAAGTCTCTATGATATTCTGATCACTCTTTCACCCGTTTTATCATACACAAGGCAGAAATGTAACTCTGATTGCTTAGAGAATTAATAGTACACCTCTTCTCAACAATGCCCATGATTTGAGGATTCATTCACGTTCATACTGTAGCACAAATGATGCGGGACCGGGACGTGTTATGTACCGGTGTTTAGTACTTAGGGTTCGTGGTAATTAAAGGGGTCATGACATGGATTTTTATTTTCATTTTAATGTGTTCTTTGAGGTTTTCTTATAACGTTAATAAAGTCGGCTAATGACACTGCATTGGAAAGAGTATCAACACCCGCTCGCTATTGCATCCGAGTAATTTACAGACAACTCATTATGAAATCGTTTACTTACGGTTTGTGCAGTTGCTGTCAGATATAATACACTTTCAACAAAAGTTTCTTTGCAAACTCTCTGTGCTTCGTTTACAAAACAAAATGCTCCGAACAAGCATATAATCCTCCGACACGATACGGGACGTCATTAAAATGAGCCAACCACTTGTTCCTGACACTGATAATCTTCTGAAGTTAGTACAGAGATGCAAATGAGCTGTTTAGAAGCGAACGTTCTTTCACTCCTCCAATTTGTTCCTGTTGTTGACAGACTCGCTTGCCAGGATTGTGTCAGAAACTGAGCATGCATTTATATACTGTATCCAGTGTAGACGGCCTCAGTGATTATAATGGGTTTCTATTTGTTTTTGACGCGACGTCATGAAGTGTCATGATGTATAACTATTTGTTAATGTCTTGCTCTGGAGGCTGGCATTTGCAAATGTATTTGGCCATGTGATGTCAGATCCTGCAATATCAAAACGAGCCGTTTTTGGAGCTTGATTAAATAAATGCTTTGTTTATAATGAGGAGAACGTTTTAAGCTATGAAACTTGCAGGGTGTTTTAAATGGTACAAAGACCTCTTGTATGTCAAAAGATCAAGGCAAATTTGATTTATCATGTCATGAACCCTTTAGTCATCATTTGTGCCTTATCGAATTGCCAAATTGATTTTAAATCAAAATGTACAATCAAAATCACTCTATACTCATCAAATAAAACTATTACAAATCATTTCTGTTAATTGAAATAAAGCTGAAACAAAATATAATATATATATATATATAATTATTAAAAGAAAAACTTAATCTTAAAAAAACTTGCCTTAGGAAATAACTGAAATAAATAAGTTAATACATAATATTAAGTACTAAAATAAAATAAATTAAAATAAATTAAAGTTAAATAGATTAGAAATATATCAAATAAAAGCAAGTTCAAACTGGTGCTTAATTAGGTTCACAGCAAATGTTCCTGGTGTTATTGTGCACAATTCAGTGAATGTACTCTAAAGAAAAAACATATTCATAGCACGTTTCGACTTGTTTTCTGCTTACATAATTAAGGTGGTACAGAAAAAGAAAACAACCAATAATATCACAGAGTAACATTTCCATCTAATCAAATAAAATCCACGTCGTATCCTGTATTATTTCCAACTGAATATTCAATTTCACTCAGAAGAACCACATTATAGAAGTCAAATGTATTGTTAATGCCAATTTTTGTCATCTATATATATATGAAAAAAAGTATCTACTGTGAAGACATGGTATTGAATCTGGTTTAGTACTAAAGGGAAGAATCCAAAACAGGGTTTTTGACAATAATGCAAATTTAACTGCAATTTTGATTAACCTTTCTGACGTAGCTGACGGCATCCTCCTCTGTGTAGACTTCAGCACTGACTCCACCTCTCCGGCGCCTGGCCTTCACCACCGGGTTTGGAGGAGGAGGAGACACTTCATCATCGTGAGAGTCCGACTGTGAGTTGGACTTCTGACGGGCCATGATCTGCTTGCATTCTTCCTGTGGAGAGAGGAAGTGAATGATACATATGATTAGACATCCATTTCAAAACATCGAGAGGATTGTAACCATCTAATGAAGGGCTGGATTTCTCATCCTCATTACACAGGACACGCAAAAAACAGTGCAAAGTTAAAACAGCAGACACAGAGGGTAAAAAATTTTTATATACGTATACATGTATTTGCAATATATACAAACACACTCGCAAGAGTGTCAGTATTAATCCACATATTGATTTCTTACAAAATATTTTTTTTACATAAAACTACACTCAGAAGCCACTTCTTTTTGTACACCTGTTCAACTGCTCGTTAATCAGTCAATCACATGGAAGCAAATCAATGCATTTAGGCAAGTAGACATGGTCAAGATGATCTGCTGAAGTTCAAACTGAGCATCAGAATGGGAAAGAGAGGTTGTTGGTGCCAGACAGGCTGGTTGGAGTATTTCAGAAACTGCTGATCTACTGGGATTTCAATGCACAACCATCTCTAGGGCTTACAGAGAATGGTCTGAAGAAGAGAAAATAGCCCGTGAGCAATGGCTCTGTGGGTGAAAATGCCTTGATGATGCCAGAGGTCAGAGGAGAATGACTGGTTTGAGCTGATAGAAAGGCAACATGAACTCAAATAACCACTCGGCACTCGTTATAACGGATGTCTGCAAAAGGACATCTCTGAAAGATGTGTGAAAACACGTTGAACCTTGAAGCAGATGGGCTACAGCAGCAGAAGATCACTGGGTGCCACTCCTGTCGGCTAAACCTGGGACCAAACTAAAAAATTTTTTTAAATCTCATAAGATTTTCAAAATGTGAGAGACCACAAACATGATGATAAGAAATCATAGATTTAACCGATTTGTTCTTCTAGTGTGTGGAGTGCAGCGATGTGATCAGGAAAGCACAACACACACTAAATTCCTTTCACAAACAACAGAGTCCTGCCTGTGAACACGGGAAATCTCGCAAAATCTCTAGCATCAAACGTGACTTTAAAGTAAACAAACATGGCGGACAACTTGCAAGGAGAAATGCCGCTTAAAGTGTATGGACCGTTTTTACAGAAAATTTGCAGGGGGGAAAAAAGGAAAATTGTTTAGATGAAGTCGTGTTGACGGTGTGAACATGGACTTTACATGTTACAGTGCGAGCTGGAGGGGAGTCTTCCATCAGCTCGCTTTCTGATTGGGTATCGTTTCGATTCACAGGATGTCCTCAGGGTTCCCCCAAACAACAGGATTTCTGATTCGAGATTTGGGCGGCTCTGACATTCTTCCTAACAGATTCAGTCACTCTTAACCCACCGCAGGAAAATCTGATAAGATAATCTGTAGAACCATCAAGATAATCGGGACTTTACCTAGGACTGCCGGAAGGGGAGAAATCGGTCCAGTGTGTGCCTAGCATTAGAACAGGAGGAAACTGAGGCTACAATTCGCACAGACTCACCAAAATTGGACAACAGAAGATTGGAAAATGTTCCCTGGACTGCTGTGACATTCAGATGGTCGGGTCAGAATTTGGCGTAAACAACATGAAAGCATGGATCCGTCCTGCTTTGTATTAACGACGGCTGCTGCTGCTTGTGTAATGGTGTGGGGGATATTTTCTTGGCACACTTAGGACCCTTTAGTACCAACTAATCATTGCTTAACACCACAGCCTACCTGAGTATTGCTGCTGACCATGTCCATCCCTTTATGACCACAGTGTAGATGGTCACTTCCAGCAGGATAACACGCCAAATCACAAAGCTCAAATCATGTCAAACTGGTTTTTTTAACAATACAATGAGTTCACTATACTCAATTGGCCTCCACATTCACCAAATCGCAATCCAGTAGAGCACTTTTGGGATGTGGTGGAACGGAAGATTTACATCATGGATGTGCAGCCAACAAATCTGCAGCAACAGTGTGATGCTGTCATGTCAAAATGGACCAGAATCTCTAAGGAATGCATTCAGCACATTGTTGAATCTATGCCATGAAGAATTAAGGCAGTTCTGAAGGCAAAAGCGAGGTCCAACCCAGAACTAGCAAGATGTACCTCATAAAGTGGCAGGTGAGTGTGTGTATATTTAGCGTGTGTGTGAATATTATATGAGTGGTTTTAGTGCATTTTTATGTGGTTACTTAGCCTACTTGCCTGAGTCACTCTCTACAACAAATTCTCTCTGGTATTCTGGCCTATATAAATCTGATATCAGTCTGTTAATTTTACAATTAAAACTTTTACAGGATATAAAAGATAAAGTGTTTGTAAAATGGCATAAACATCTGCCACTGAAACATCCCAAGACACAAATACCAAAGTGAAGGCCGGCGGATGCAAAGGAACAGCTGGGCACATGCCACACACAAATCCACACAAAACACACACAAGCTCTCTCCAAAGCTTTAGACAGCCATCAACAGGCCTGTCCATGAAATAACACACAAAGAGTCCAAATGTGCTCTGAAATCTGTGAAGCATTTATTTGATGTCTTAACATTATAAATGTAACATTATAATTGTATAATATTTACTGTCACTTTTGATCAATTTAATGCATCCTTGCTGAATAAAAGTATTAATTTCTTTTTAAAAAAAAACCCAAAAAAACACTGACCCCCAAACTTTGAATGGTGGTATATGTTTGGGCTTAAAGGGATAGTTCACCCAAAAATGAAAATTTTGTCATTGATTACTCGCCCTCATATGCTCGCTTTATACACAGCAATATCACCAGTGTTAAATTAACACTGCTAAGTGTTTATATGTGTCCACACTCAGAGAGTGTTAAATGAACACTGAAACAGTGCTAAAGTTAATGAGATCATTAAGTGATTAATTGAGTGATAATTGAGCATTATCGAAGACACCTGATGTTAACAAGCAGAATCACTGAAGGAGAAAATCGTAATTGGTATGTTACCATTATGGAGATCAGTGTTTGCTTTAGTTGGGCTCTTGACCCTTAAAGGGATACTCCACTTTTTTTGGAAATAGGCTCATTTTACAACTCCCCCAGAGTTAAACTGTTGAGTTTTACCGTTTTTAAATCCATTCAGCCGATCTCCGGTTCTGGCGGTACCAGTTTTAGCATAGCTTAGCATACATCATTGAAGTGGACAAGACCATTAGCATTTCTAAAAATAAAAATGACCAAAGTGTTTCGATATTTTTCCTATTTAAAACTCGACTCTTCTGTAGTTACACCGTGCACGAAGACCGACGGAAAATGTAAAGTTGCGATTTTCTAGGCTGATATGGCTAGGAACTATACTCTCATTCCTGCGTAATAATCAAGAAACTTTACTGCCGTACCATGAGTGCAGCAGGCGTACTGATATGACGCAGCGCCTGAAAATAGGGTACCTTCCGTCAACACAACGGAACTATTTTCAGGCGCAATGGAAAGTACAGAACTGATAAAAAATATCTTCTTTTGTCTTCCGAAGATGTATATAAGTCTCACGGGTTTGGAACAACACGAGAGTGAGTAAATGATGACAGAATTAAAAATTTTGGGTCAATTTTTTTATTTATTTATATGATTGACAAAAAAACTCCAGCTTTCTACAACTGGTACATGAGCAAAATACTACTTTTGTTAACTGGACAAGAGGTCACGTTATTGGTCGATGCCAATCTCAAGATGGACAAATATCAGCCTAGACGATAACTAAGAATCTTATATCATTAGAAGCTTTCATTTCTATTTAAAAGAAAAGAGTAAGGAAATCATGTCATCATTTGCTAGCCCTCATGTTGACTTGTGCCCTACATGTCGATTTTAATCCGGCACAGTTTTCATACACTCATTCACACACATAGGGTCAGGAGTGCGTATCCTTTAACAGCCCGTGGATTTTCATCTTTCTAAATGAACAGAAGGTGCCAGACAGAGAGAGAGAGAGAGAGAGAGAGAGAGTGAGAGTGTGAGTGATTGAAATTCATCTATGACTAAAATGCAAGTGGGTCAGTAAACATCGTTCACCCAGCGGCTCAAAACTATGATGACACTAAATAACCTAAAAAAAACACAAGCTATCGCTGAACACGCGTCATGAGGAGAAGACAAGGACAGTCGTTCTCTTGTTCTGAGTACAATATCAGCCCATCTGATCACGTCTTATGAATACACAATCCCATCGGCTGTTTGATGCTCTACCTAAACCAGCAGAAGCTCAGCAGAAGCCCATTCCTAACAAAAGCCCAAGCCCCAAGCATCTGCGGGTATGAAAAAGCCTGTTGTTCCTGGAGCACATGATCAAAGAAGATGTTCAGTTGCTGCTGAGTGTGGATGCGGTTACTGGCACCTCCAGCTAAACGAATGACTGCTGTGACTTTCATAAGATCCGTGTAATCTAAGATTGGGCAACAACATCAAACAGCATCAGCATGCCTCCTAATTGTCTATTGAGGGGGAACGGGAATGATTCCAGCTCTTTACACTTCTGCTTACATAAAGTAAGTACACCACACTACTGTTATTGGGGCCAATACTACAAGAAATTCACAATTTTTCAACAAGGAAGCATTCAATTGACCAAAAGGGACGGTAAAAACTTTCACGATGTTAATGCTTCTATTTTAAATAAACGCATAAATGCACAGTTTCCTTTCCACGAAAATACTAAGCAGCACAACTTTTTCAACATGGATAATAATCAGAAATGTTTCTAGAGCATCGAATCATCATATTAGAATGATTTCTGAAGGATCATGTGACACTGAAGTCTGGAGTAATAATGCTGAAAATTCAGCTTTGCATCACATAAATTGCATTTAAAACATATTCAAATAGAAAACAAAAATATATGTTTTTTGTACAAAAAAATAAAAAGACGACTTAAAATAATTTAATTTGAATTAATTTTAGAAGTGTGATTTCTACACCTGGAAAAGTCATATAGTAGTCAACATTTGAAGTGGATCAAAACTTTTCATCAAAGTTATACATGAATTTCGAACATGGTTCGTTCTTGTCTTAAGACAGCTTGGATGAACTTTTTTGATCCACTTCAAATATTGACTACTATATATTAAAATAAAAATCTTAAAATGTCATGGGTATATAAATGATTATATATATTTTGTAGTTATACCAAGCTCTAAAATATTTAATCAGGTAGAAATTATGAGTATTTTTTTATTCTTATCCTTAAACTTTTGAATACTGTTGCCAACAATGAGAGGCCTTGTAGTTAAACATTTTGAGAATCACTGAAGTTGCTGTAAAACTATATAAGCCCTACAAAATCCAAAATCCAATGTTTACACCTGCAAATGAACTTCATAGATTTTCCACAGATCCTGATAAAGTGCCTAAGTGTATGCTGTCCACTCAATTCACACACTCCAGGAACAGATCAAAGAAGCGTTAATAGAAACCAACGATTTCTCATTCCCAAAACCTGTAATTAATTCTAAAAATAATGAATATCCTTTCTATTGTGGTGCAACAAATAAGACACATAAAGAACATCAACCTCTCTATGAACGCTTACACAATGACAGTTAATGATCATGGATGTTTGAGGGAAGGCGAAAGCATTCATTAACAATGAATACACTAACAGTGAATTCAGCCAGACTTTTTTTCCAAAGCAATGTACAGTGCATTCATTACAGGATCATCCCCCCGGAGCATCCTGAGGTTAAGTGCCAAGCCAAATGGGACATCGATGATCTCAATAACTCTCCAGCTCCTGCTTCCCCAGCTCCATGGGAATGAAGCCACATCCGTTGTGATCCCCAACCATCACCCTTTCCGACGCAAATTCATAACTTAGACAAACACATCACCAGCAGAGCAAACAGAGTAAGAGTAACGCACCTTCTCCAGCTTCTCGAAGTGTTCCCGCAGGAACTTCATAGGCCGCTCGGGCTTGGCGATGCACAGGTTGACGATGCACTCTTTGAGGATCTGCTGTATGTTGTGTTTCTGCACGAAAACCTCACAGCCTTTCAGACTTTCATCTTCTTCCAGATTGGAGGAGGAGGTGGCCATCTTATCTTCTATCTCTGCCGCGGGAGAAAAGAGCAGGAGGGGGGACGAGGAGAGATATTCTTTCTTAAGTCTCTGTCTTATTCTCTCACTCAAATAATAATATTTGACTGTTGAGTGACTAGAAAAATCCAATGTATTCAATATGCATTTATGTAACTGTCTATCAATCTATCTATCTATCATAGATAGATAGATAGAATGACAGATAGATAGATAGATAGAATGACAGATAGATAGATAGATAGATAGATAGATAGATAGATAGATAGATAGATAGATAGATAGATAGATAGATAGATAGAATCATAATGATGATGATAGGCCATTCTTCTGCATGTTACACATTTACATTTCACTTCCGCCATTGATTCACATCAAACATCCAAAAACCATTAGCAACTGAAGCATCAATCCTCATTCTCGACCTATACCTATACGTTCACGAAACCGATACCGCATTCAGTCGTGCACGCGTGCAAAACGAAGCGTCCGTTTGTCGGCGGAGCGCTCGAGCATCACTCTGTGATCACCTGTTTACGTTTTTATCCCAGCTCATTCGCTTAAAAATACAAACCTATGCGGTGTATAAATGGTTTTAGTCATGTATTATTTTGGAAACCGCATCTCTCGGTATATAGAGCTGAAAACAGTCGCGTGTGTCGCACAGTATTTAATGTTAATTTGGCTTACCGTTATGAGGCGGAGATGCAAGGCTCGCGCTCTGGGATGATGTTGCTTGTTTGGTCCTGCTGCTCGCGAGCGCTGTGACGTCGATCCGTCTCACGATTGGACACTGACACTGACATTAACAAAATTAATAATTTTGAAATATCAGAAAAGCCATATAAATGTCATGCAGATGTTAATGGATTGAGACTACTTTAGTTTATTTAGAGCTTTTTATTTATTTTGAATCATCTCCTGTTTCAGCCAATCAGCGTCATTGTGGGTATGTGCGTCATCCAGAATAGCACTCAAGTTTTGTGGATCACAGACCCTGACGCCCTGACCTCTACAAGCACGTTTGTCTTTTTCTTTTTTTTTCTTGCAATGTTTCATCACTTTCCTGGAATGATTTGAGTTTCTAAAGCTAATAATAATCGTAGTCTTTTTTAAACCAAATTAGAATCATTAGAATCTACTGTTAACTTTCTTATTCTTGTGGCAAAATTTGATTTTCACAAACAAAATAACCTTTTAAATCATGTAAATCATGTAAAAGACGTACTATGTGCACTATTGTCATCTTTCTTGCTATAAAAACCCTGAATACATAAGAGATGACAGTACATGTGTCAATATTTGGCGAATTGTCAAATACAAATCTGATTAAAAAAATATATGTCTATATACGCCACCCACCATCTCATTACAAATAATTCTGTCTATTTATTATAATCTGTCTATTATTTCTTTGTGAAAAATATTGTTCTTACCATAGTAAAATAAATAAAATAAAGTTGAACTGTTTTGAATGTTCCTCTACCGTAAAGCCACCTGAGCTGTCGCAATCTACCGTCGTAGTGGCAACAACCGCCATGACAACCAGCAACAACATCAACACATGTGAAGGAGCAATGGCGACCGCCAGTGATGATCGAGCTGCAGCGGATGTTTTAAAATCTCTGGCTCGCCACTTAAACTGTTTAAACGAGGATAACAAAAGCGCCAGAAAACGAGCTCTAGAAGCGGTGAAGAGAGACACAATCGAGCAGCGCTTCTCCAGCGTTGCGCTTCAGGAGCTTTTCGCCAGTTTGCTAAAGACGCTGCTGAAATCTCTGTCAGATCCTGCGGAGACATGCAGGGACTCTACTATTCAGATCATCACAGGGTTTATCAGATCTGTCCCCAAACCAGAAGACTCTCTGCCCTATCTCATACCCGCCCTGGCGCAGAGGCTCGGGGGGAAGGAGATCCTGGAGCCGGCGGAGGAGCTCAGACTGGCTCTGGTGGAGATGCTGTCTCTGGTGGTGGAGGTGTGCGGCAGACAACTTGCCCCCTACCTGGATGACATGATACAGATCCTGCAGAGAACCATCACGGATCCCTTCCCTGAAGTCAAGAAAGAGAGCTGTAGATGCACCATCAGTTTTGCACAGTGTGTTCCTGGTAAGTGGGGCCCTCAAGCTGTTGATGTGCAGTTGAGATACAGTATATTATGCATAAATTCACTTTCATGGGTCATTTGTATAGGAGTGTGTTTGTTTAGATTTATTATAGATTAAGCTGGCCTTAGGGACATGTATGTTGTTGGTTGTCACGGTAAAATGGCCAGACTGATGCCTTGAAGCCAAAACATTATGCCCAGCCACAGGTGAAGCGAATATTGTTGCTCATCTCCTAACAAGGCCACATATTAAGGTCTCTGTAAATTAAATGTTATGCAAACAATTGGTTCTCGTAATCAACATGCAGGATGCAGGATTTGTTGGATGTGTGTTGCTCCCGGTCAGTAGTGGTGAAAATTAACAGTAACGTTAGTCCGAGGAGGGAAAAACCACAAACCTGTGACAGGGTGTTGGGCGCCCAATGCTCATTGATCCACAAGGGCAACGAAGGCTATCCCGTCTGATCCGAGCCAACAGAAGGTCTACTGTGGAACAAGTCACACAAAATTTGAATGATGGTTATGTCTGGAATGTGTCACAACACAGTGCATCCATCGCATTCTGCTGTGTATGAGGCTGCGGACCAATCAGAGTGCCTGTGATAGCCCCTGTCCACTGTCGAAAGCACCTATAATGGGCACACGGGCGTCAGAACTGGACCTTGGAGCAGTGGAATAATGTTGCCTGGTCCGTTTTCTTTTACATCGCGTGGATGTGTACGTGTGTTACCTGGGGAAGTGATGGCATCAGGATGCACTGTGGGACGACGACAAGCCTGTGGAGGTATTGTGATGCTCTGCGCAATGTTCTGCTGGGAAACTGGGTCCGACCATTCATGTTTGTGGACGTAAATTTGACACATGCCACCTTCCTAAACATTGTTGCAGACCAGGTACACCCCTTTTTGACACTGGTGTTCCCTGGTGGAAGTGGCCCTTTAACAGGAAAATGCTCCTTACTGCACACATTGTTCAGGAATGTTTTGAGGAACATGATGATGAACAGTGTTGGGGGTAACGCATTGCATAACGTGAGTTACATAATCAGATTACTGTTTCAAGCAACGAGTAAAGTAACTAATTACTTTTAAAATGACAACAAAATTACAAAAATATCTGAGTTACTTTTTCAATTTAGTAATGCAAGTTACTTTGTTTTCCCATTTATTGACTGACAGTTCTCCTGCTGTCACCATGTTGAGAGAAATCAGGAGTAAGTGTGTGTGAACATGATGCTTTTATTGTAGTTAGACACAAAAACAGATTTAGTATTCCTTAAAATGAATAAAAACAGTAAAATCCTAACTCAGAATATTATGCAAACATGCAATAGTTAAATATGTCAAATAACACAAATATACTTTATGTATTTAATCTCACTTTATTACAATTAGATTAATAAGCTTTCCCAAACACTGATGATGAAGAGTTCAAGGTGTTTCAATGGCCTCCAAATTCCCCTGATCTCAATCCAATTGTTCAAAGTTCAAAGACCTTCAGGGGTCTTGTAGAGTCCATGCCTCAGTGGGTCGGCGCTGTTTTGGCACACACAGAGGACTGACAACATATTAGGCATGTGGTCATAATGGTTTGGCTTATCGGTGTATATACACAACACATGTAAGGCCAGTTTGCCACTTAACTCCTGTATAATGAATCTAGACAGACATCACTCGACCCCGTAATGTACCAAATGCAGATCCACTGTATCTCAACTGTCTATATCAGGGGTGGCCAGTCCTTCCTGCAAAGTTCAGCTCCAAACCTCATCAAGCATAAATTAACCAGCTCATTAAGATCTTCATATATCAATTAAACAATCATAGACACAGTGGAGATGGTAATGTGCAAGTTTCTGTTCATCTATCTTTGCCCAGATCATTTTCACCTGCAGGCTGAGAGTCTTGTGAAGCCTCTGTTGCAGACTATTTCTCACCAGCATTCCCAAGTGAGAGTTTCTGCCACACAGGCCACTGGCGCGGTCATTCGGCACAGTTCAGGCAAAAATGTAGATGACGTTTTGTCCCACTTGGCCCAGAGATTGTTTGACGACTCGCCACGGGTAAGCTGGCAGCACTTAGGCTTCTTGATTGATGCGTTATTTAGTAAATGGCTTGTCTTTGATATCTTTCCAAGAAGTTCTTCTGCTAAATATGAAATATAATTCCTATTTTACAAGGTTATGTATTCCACAAGGGAATGATTTCTTGTTGTGCTAATCTGTTCAGGTGAGGAAGGCCGTGACCGTAGTCGTGGGCGATTGGCTCCTCCACCTGCCGGACAGATATTCCTACTTTCACAAGCTCATCCCGCTGCTTCTGAGCAGTCTCAGTGATGAGATCCCTGAAATCAGGTGAGAACAAATGCACAGTCATAATAACGGTGTTTTCCAGGCCTCTCAATGTCATGAAAATGCACGTGTCTTCTTATCGGATAAACATTTTATGCACATTTTTTTTATCCACATCTTGGTGTTTCCATCCAGTGTTTTTTTTTATTTTTTTTATGCGAATTCCCAAAATGCTTATAAAAATAGGTGGATGGAAACATAGCTACTCATGTTCAAGTTTGTGGTTGGAAAGACTTGGTAAGCATTTATTTGATCACAATTCTGTAAAACAGTAGTATTGTAAAATATTACAGTTTGAAATAATTGCTTATTATTTGAATATGTTTTCAGTTGTGATTTAATCTTAATGAGCCCAAACTTTTTAATGGTGATGTATTTGTCGTCTTGTTTTTGTCTATCTCTTTAGTCCTTTCCTGTAAAAAATGATGATTTTGTGATTTTAAATGATTTTATCCAGGTCTCTTGCTGAGGACTTATGGAAAAAAATAGGATCTCAGTGGGAAAATGAAAATGAGGATGATTTGAAGGATAAGATGGACTTTCTGCTGCCTGCACCTGCCATTTACACTTCTGGAGGTGAGACTGACTAATAACAGAATGACCCTCTTTAAACTGCCCGGCCAGGATCTTGACACAAAAATGATGGACCTCTTGATGAAAATAATAACATTCAACTATTTATTTCCATCAAGAGGTGCATAAATTTTTGGTCAAGATCTTGTATTGTCAATGCAAGAGTCCAGCACTCTGTAAAGTCTCCTCCAGCACATTCCCAAAGACTTTCAGTGAATTTAAGGTCTGGACTCTGGACTCAGAGGTGCCAATTCATGTGTTAAATTTGTCTTCATGTTCCCTCACAACCATTCTTTCACAATTTGATCCTGATGAATCATTGTCATCCTGGAATATGGCCATGATGCGTCTTCCTACATGGTTGTTTAAGAAATGAAAAGCTACACACTCCATCAATTAGGGTTAGAAGAACTGATGCCAAACATATACCATGCTATAAATATAATAATGCAATAATGATCCAATCATAGACTCGTACGCATTTGCCTATTTAAATCCAAACAGTGACTTTTTTTGCAGGGCAGTGTATATATACTGTACATTAGATATGAAAACTCCAGATAATTATAACATTTGACAGACTTTGATGCTCAGTTATCTTGTCCTTGAATAAGGAGGAGAGAAAGAGAGAGAACCTGAATGTGAAAGTATTTTTAGCTAGATGTTTGCTTTTTTATTAATAACCAACACAACCATCTACACAACCATTCAAAAGTTTGGGATCAGTAAGATTTATATAAAAAAAATGAAATGTAAAACATTAATTTAGCAAGAGCACATTCAATTG